CTGAGCACTAGGAAAGCCGCCTCTGTTTCACGTCGCCCTCCATGAGCCAGAAAATGTAAGCTCATCCTACATTTGAAAGGAACTTTCCAAAACCCAGCACTGTGCTAGACGAGGAAGCAGCTTCTGCTGCTGCTGCTGCTGCTGCAAATATTGTCTTTACAATTTCTGGCCTGTAGGAAACAATGCTAGATACTTTTTTTTTTTTAAGTGACTACTATTGTTCACCAAAAAGCCAAGAGTCCAGAACATTAGATCCCATTTCCTAACTGGAAGCTGGGCAGGATGATGTTGTGTTAAGGGAATGCTTCTTACACGTTAGTGTGTGTCAAAATCACTGGAAGGCTGCTTAGAACAAAGATCCCAGGGTGGAGTGAGGCTCAGGAATGTGCATTTTTCACAAGCTCCCAGGTGAGGGTGATGCTCCCAGTCCCCAGGCCACGCTGTGTGTTGCACTGGTGTCAGGCAATGCTTTACAAACTCTACTGTGTATACAAACCACCTGGTGATGCTGTACAAATGCAGATTCTGATTGAGAGATCTGAGCTCTTGTCCACAGACTGTTCTCCAAGTAGCAAGGGTATAGGATATTCCACTGGGGGTAGGGGGAGAAACTCTGCTAGTACCATTGTTTACATAGATAGTTGCCCATACGTCAGTTTGATAGGCAAGGGATAAAAACCTTAAGTATGCATCCCCTCACTTTTTTTTTAGATGGAGCAGCAAAGAAGAAATCAGTTAAATGATATCCCCAAATCAATGACAAACTAGAGAACTGAACTGAGTCAGCTCAGTCTGTTTCCTCATGTTTGAGGAGCGAACAGTTTGCAGACTTTGGGAGACATGTCAGGCATGAAAGAGTATCCACTTCAATCGGCTATTTCCAAAACCCCATGTCTAGGATGCCAGACGTGAAATTCCAAAACTCCATGTCCAGAATCTAACTCAGGAGAAATGAGAAATTTTTCCTAAGAGATTTCTTTAGTTTGAATCAACATGCTTTACCTTGCAATGGGGGGAAGCCACTTTGCAGAAAAAGTGATGGTAACAGAAAGAGCAGAGATGGAGGACCATGCTGTGTATCCAATCCAGCCTTAACACTGGGAGCATAAGAGGCACAAGAACTGTGACACTTTAATTTAGTCAAGAATCCCTAAATTCAAGATCATGCATCTTATACTGTGGGTGGAAACCATACACACACGTCCTTGTCCTAACGAAGCCATCATTCATTCCTTCATTTTCATTGGCTCATTCATCCATCCATTTATTAAGTATTGAGTGCCTCCTCTGTGGCAGACGTGTTCTAGGAGCTGGGGACTTAAGAGAGAACCAACTGCAACAAATATCCAAGCTGCTCCATCAGTTGGAAAGCACTTTAGGCGCTGAGGCAGAGGAGACGGTTCTATGCTTTTCTTCTCTGTGAAGCAGTACAGAGGAGTGAGGGGTTTAAAGCAGTGCTTCTCTGACTGTGGCAAGAGCCTGGTTTATTCCCCCCAGTTTGTGGCAGATTGATGCTTTTATAAAATACAATAAAAATGAATCACTAGAAAGAAAGAAATTTTAAAACTCACAAAGATATACAAAACACAAGTCTCAATTTTTTCTTATTAGATCCAAAACAATGTCAGTTGTCTAAAAATATCAATTGCTAAAAAAAAATACAGTGGCTACACGATCACTCACAAATTCCCTATGTCTCAGGGAAGACTGGTACCAAATAGTGTGCGGACAAGCGTAATCCTCAGACTCCACTTCGCGTAGAACTGGTTTAGAGCAGATGACAGGGTTACATCGCCTGGGTTTGAATTACGGTTCTACTACTTGCCAGCTGTGTGACTGTGGGCAAGATATTTAATTTCATGGTTTCTCAGTTTCCTCACCATAATAAGAACACCGCTCCACAGAGTTGCTGCCATACATTTAAAGCACTTGCACGTCAGTGCATATAAAGCACCCAGAATAGTGTCTGACTCATAGCAAATGCTACCAAGTGTTAGCTGCTGTCATCACGACTACCTGCTATTGTGACTGCTGTCATCACTATTATTACTTCTACTATTACTACTAATACTACTCTGCTGTATCATTTTGGGCCAACACTAATACGGCTGTTTCACGTATAAAATGGTGCTTGTACTCTTTTCCTTCCTGTTCACTTCCTTCCTTCCCTCCTGCAGAACCTGTGTCTAGGAAGTAAAATCACTGATGTGAACGCATGTTAGCACCCACAGGAATGCTCCCTCACAACCCGAGAGTCTCCACTGCCCAGATGCCATTTTGGAGAGACAAGGACAGAGTGTCCCCGGCTTCTCTTCACAGGGCTCCCAGGCACTGTGTCTGCCCATCAGCAAACAAACGGGAGCGGCACCGAGACAGCTGTCCTTCCACCCTTCCTGGGGGACCTGCTGGGCTGATGCTGTATGACACTGGGTGCTGCCTCAGGGGGAAGGCACATGCTCTCTTCCACTCTGCGACCAAACCACAGTGTGGCAGAGGGAATCACTTCTAAGGACATTTTTAAACTTCCTGCAATTGAATACTTAATCCACATGCATCTTTCACACACACATATATTTCCTCTAAGCTCCTTTAACATTTGTTTTTGAGAATTATTTTGTACTTTTTCTTCAGATTAACCACCTATCATTAGCTGGGAATAAAAATATCAAGGAGAAACAGAAACGTGTTTAAGAAACAATGAAACTCGAGCATGGCAGATTGTTAGAAAACACTTTACAATCATTATAAAGCAAGAGAATTTTTCAAGATGGGGAAAAATAACCATCTCCTCCTTTGCTTTTTAAACCTCTAAACTCTGAGAATATTAAACAAATGTATTGATATGGTCTAACTAATTTGCATTTTCATAAAATAAAATTTTTATGAAAAAATGAGAGGACAACAAAATAACCAAAAACCAAAGCAAGCGTTTAAGCTCTGAAAGCAAATTTGCAGCTTAATAGCTTGAATGGCCTTGGTGTCAAGATTTACTCACTTCTATATAATTACTGAATCTTGACAAGGTCAAAGAGAGAAAAGGTAGAAGTGAAGTCCTTACCTAGCCTTGGAATGGAGTAAATGATTTAAAGGACAAGAGGCATAGTAACATGTACAAAATGGCAGGTGACGAGGTTGGGAGGATCTGGCAGGCACAGAGACGGACTGGCCAGAGATGTCATTTAGCTGGTAGTATATGGCCCTGATGTGGCCCAGACTGTAGTCAACCAGTTATGAGTTTTAATGTGTCTTTGTTACTCAAGCTGAAAATTATCACTTCAAATAAGCCAGCGTCTTTAGTTCACAGATCCACTCTGTAGTGCACTGTTGCCTTTTTTTTCCATTTTAAAGTCAGTACACTAAGCATTTTAAAGTTGCTCTATATACCATATAGAGAATGGAGAATAGCCAGGAAAGGGGACCTACTTAGGTAGGGCAGTCAGAAAAAGCCTCTCAGTGGAGGTGACATTTGAAGTGAGACTCAGAGAGGAGAAGATCCCAGCCACACACACAGCCAGTGGAAAAGGAATCCAGCAGAAGGAATAGTGAGCACACGTCTTTACCATTCCCTGCCTTTGCAGCCCATACTCAAGTACCGATCCCTCCCCAGGAGCATCTCTAACACAGACCCAGGCCCTTCGCATGAACATCTTCCTGGGTGTGATGCCTCTATCCTATGTCCTCGATATCAAAAGAGTTCGCTCCTTAAAGAAAGAATACTTATAACTAGGACACTTCCCTGCAAAAGGTCCAGCACTTCTGTTAATTTTAATGTACAGAGGAGGAAAAATCAAGGAAGACATATATAAAGGCAGGTGTAAGAGCAGGTGACTGAAGCAAATATAGCTCCCTTCCATTTACACAACTTCTTTTTGAAAAGCACAAGCCTTCCACACTTTGAATACCCTCACAGCATACAACTTACATAAAAATGTGCTATTGTGGCTGGGCACAGTGGCTCATGCCTATTATCTTAGCATTTTGGGAGGCTGAGGCAGGAGGATCACTTGAGGCTGGGAGTTTGAGACCAGCCTAGGCAACATAGCAAGACCCCATCATTACAAAAATAAAAAAAAATCAGCCAGGTGTGGTGGTGCGCACCTGTAGTCCCAGCTACTCAGGAGGTTGAGGTAGGAAGATCACTGGAGCCCATGAATTTGAGGTTATAGTGAGCTATGATGATACCCTGCACCCTAGTCTGGGCAACAGGGCCAGACCCTGCCTTGAAAAAAAAAAAAGTGCTATTATGTCAATCTTTCCCTTAAATGAAGAAACACTGGAAGAATTTGATCACAATGTAATAATAGCTAATGTATACCTATAATTTAAACTCATACTATTTTTTTTAGTTTTATATTTACCTCCAAATCACTAGCCAAAATGTATATAAAATATATACCTCCAGCCTATTAATCAAAAATATCTACTGACAGATTATTTTACTCTTTCTGTTGCCCAGAAACCATTTTGTTATAGTCAAAGTAAAATTTTCAATATTAACAAGATCATCACTGGAATTAAATGATCTGACTTTTAAAAGCCAGTTTCCAGGTTCAAATTCACTGTGAGCTAGCCAAGGTATGTACAGCATGTCTGCCCTCAAATGGTACAGAGAGTTTCCTGCTGGTAATTGAGGTTAAGCAGAATAACTTCCTTCCTGTTAATCCTTCATACTCTGGGATGCCTTCACCAACGGAAAAAAATTCCTTTCAAGGACAAATTCCAGGCATAATAATGAGGAGTGGCTTGCATGTTAATGAGGCTCTCCATCTCCCACGTCCAAAGCTCACCATTTTTTTTCTTAAAGATCTTAAGGAACTCCCATTATCCAACTACATTAGACCAAAATTTCCCTAGTGCCTGTTAAATTTATTTCCTCTTGTTTTCTCCCTGATGTACATGGAAACAGATGGCAATTCTTCTTCTTCTTTTTTTAATTTATGGCTCTTGCCAAGTCAATGACAATTGCTGATAAAAACAGTAAGCTCAAAGTGTGTGATTACCTGTAGGAGAGGCCGCTGCACCCCCAGCACCTTCATGGTGTCTGCATTAGCTAGAATCTTCAAGGGGTCAGATGTTTTAGTGACTCCTTCAATCTCCTTGTTGATCTCAGCCAAGACCTGGTTGAGGAAGATGTTTTTGATGTACATGGTGAGAAACTCTCGAAGAGGGCACTGTTTGGCTGGGCCAAGTCCTAGGGCATGCTCAATCTCTTGAATAAATCTGGAAGACAAACAGTAAGAAAGGCATTAAATATACCAGAAAAATAGTTAGATAAGTATAACACAACAGATAGGAGTATCTCTAGGCTTTGGCTATTTCCAGGAAGAGGGCAGGTCCCACTCTCTTATTCATCTATATATGATTTTTACTTTTTTCAAAATATGTTATTTGGAATGAAGGCTACTCTTTAAAATTCCTGATGCTATATGAGTTTGGAGGTTAAGAAAGGGATGGGATAGGAGTTGGAGGACAAAGGAGAACTTCAACCTTACTTATAATGATTTCCTTTATTGAAAATGTTTAAAACATACATAACAGAATGTTAAAAACTGTAAAATCTCAGAGATGAGTACACAGATGTGTGTTCTATTATTCTTGGTAATTTTCTATATAGGCATCCCATGCTTTGTGTGGCTTGATATGCACAGATTTAAGTTACCACAGTTTAGTTAAATAACATCAGTCCCCCAGTAACATGGTTTAAATTCCATAGTACCACAGTATACCAACCACAGTAAATTAACCATGAGTAATTGCAGAACGTACAAACTTTGCCGTTAGGTCTTCAGAAAAAAACTATATAAATGACTGATGCACAAGCATCATGATCAGTGACCAATCACATCACTTCTTCCAAAGTCTACTGGTGATTGGTCACTGCACATTGCTATTCAGTTCATGTACAGGCAGCAAGGCATGGAGCTGTGATGCCTCCCTGTCTCCTGGTGATAAACCCATGTGACATTTTATTAAAATGGGTAATTAAAAGTAGGAATTGGCCAACAAAGATAAAAGTACAACCAAAAAAAAAAAAAAAACACTAAAAGTGATAACACTGGAAGTGAAATTTGAATTGAATATAAATGGAGTTACAGAAGAAATCGCTGTCCATGGGAACATTGGTGCTGCTGCCACTGGAGAGGCAGATGCAGCCAGGGCGAGGGCCACACCCACGAGGAAAGTGGCCGTGATGAAAGAGATGGAGAGGGATGGCCCGCCAGGGGAAGTGATGCTGGCAAAATATGTCACATTTAAGGAACTCTTGGAGATATTTCATAACATTGAAAAAACAAAGGATAAATGCTGGCAGCTGATCCCAACTTAGAAGGAGTATGATGGTTTGACGGTTTGCCAAGGCCCAGAAAAGATGCTTGCTGTGTATTATAAAGCACGCAAGAAGGAGGTGGCCAGCACTCTTCAAACTACTCTTGATAAGATTTTAACAAAGAAATAAAATACTTTAATTCTCAATGTTTCTAATGTTACAGGGTACTAAATGCATAGGAGTTATCTTATTTTTCATTTCTGTATACATTTGTAAATAACAGGAAGAGACCTTTTAATGTTTTGACAATTTTTAAAAGTCATAGAACTGTTATTATTCTCATTGAGTAAGCTTGTTGGGCATGGTTTCAGCTCTCACGGTCATTTTTACAGTTCCAGAGTGCTATGGAAAGCAAGCCTTGTACTTTAAATTTGTCTCAAAAATGAAGAGGAGGAAAGTGAAATGAAATGAAATAAAATAAAGACAAAAGATCAATAACTGGGAAGATATAGTTGCAACTTATATCACAGATGATGGGTAGAAATCAAGTAGAAAAAAAAATCTAAACAACTTAGTACAAAAATGATGAAAGGTTGTGAAAAGACTGTTAACAGTGAAAGAAATACAATGGCCATTAAATATTAGAAAAAACTCTTAACTTCATTCATAATAAGAAAAACACAAAGTAAACTATACTGAAATACCAATTTTTGCACCCATGGCCAAATTCAAAAAGTTTGAAAACACACTCTGTTGGCGTAAGTGTGGGGAAAGAGGCATTCTTGTATATTATTGACGGAAGTGAAAAAAATGGTTCAACCCTTATGAAGGGCAAGTTGGTACTAGCATTCAAAATTACAAATGTATTTCCCTTTGACCCAGAAATCCCACTTCTGGAAAATTCTTCTGACAGCTATATCTGAATATGGATGAGATGATCTCTATGTACAGTATATAGATCATTATAGCATTGTTTCTATGGCAAAGACTGGAAACAACCCAAAGTCCATAAATTAGAGAATAAACTGTGGTGTATCTACAGTTTTTACTGGAATACCATGCAGCTCCCCCCAAATGTGGAAGCTTTTGATGGATTAATGTGAAAAGACCTCCAGGATAT